TCCTGTGCACTCTGCAGGAGTCTCGCTGTCTTTACGTAGAGCTGCTTAGAAAGCAACAACAACAAATTGCATTCATACTGCACCTTTGCATCCAAAATGGAGGTTGGAATGAAGAAGGGTGGAGGGAAAGGGGGTTGGGGGTGGAAGGATGCCAAAAGGCATGGTCAAAGAGAGGGTATTGAGATGGACTTTGAAAGACACAAGAGTGGGGGGGGGGTGGCAAAGTGAAGGGACTCCTAGATGGAGTCCCAAAGGTTGGGGGCAAAGAGGCTGAAGGCCCCCAACTGTCGATGGAAACGACAGCATGGGAACAGGCTGTACAGCCCAACCAGTTTATGCTGGTGTTTATACTCCAAATAAATCTCCACCCGTCCTAATCCACTCACTTATACCCTTCTCGTCACTTCTCCCTCATGTATGTTCTCCTTCGTTTAGCCCATTGTATATTTTACAGGCAAACACAACAGACAATTTGCACACAGCAATGTTACAATACATCACAAATTTACATTTAGAGCTTGGAGGATGTCCAAAGGACTGGTGGGTGGGGTGAAGGTGACCAAAGAGTACAGTCAAAGAGATATATCTTGAATAAGGTAAGGGAGGGAGCAGGTCAAAGGGACTCCAGTGAATGTTCCACAGAATGAAAGCCCACCCGCTGATGGTGGTGTGGGTAGGGTGGGGATATGAAGCAGGCTGAGCGAAACGAATGACGGATTTGTACGGTTCAAGAAGGTTGCTGAGGTAGATTGGGCAAGACTCTGGAGAGATTTAAATATCCCACAAACAGCCGTGAAGTGAATGATCATTTTTATCTGGGGGATTATAAGCTAGGACACCGTATGGTTGAAAAAATGTTTGTTGTGAAAACAGTAGCATAAATAGCTTGCAGAGGAAAAAGCACTTTGGGGTATAAAGTCTGTTGCTTCCAGGATCCCATGTACATGATAATGACTCGCAATACGTAACACCAGCAAATTATATTTATGTTTCATGTCGGGAGGACATCTCAAAGAGCTTTGACAACAACAACTACTTGCATTTCACACAATTGTCTGTGATCTCCAATTTGATTTTAAGTTAGAGCCATGTTCTCAGGAGTCAGACTCGCTCGTTTCCCTGTAGATAATTTACTATCAGCCTGAAATTGATCTCTGCTTAAGACTATTTGGCTTTAAAAGTTATGATCACATAGAATTGTGGAAAATTCTTGAAATCAGTCTTAATTTGAAACTCTGGGAAACAGGCTTCAAAATTAAGACTGAATTTAAGAATGTTCACAAATCTGCACAAACTTAAATTTTAAGGCAAAAAACTGTCACCAGGTAAAACTTTTTGCTTATGTTCTGAGCTGCTTTTCCAATGTGAGGTGATATCACGCTAACATTTTTGTGATGAGAGCATTTCCAACACCCATGTCACTGCCTATCAGTGCTGCAATGGGAAAGATTGAACCTCAGCTGTCAACCTGAACTATGAGCTCAAGTCCCAATTTAGGGTTTCAACCCACAATCTTCTGACCCAGAAACAATGAGTGCTACCAACTGAGCCAAAAGGGCACAGTTAAAACTGCCCTAACTGTCGAGCCTTGCAAGATTGAGTACATGTCAACATTTGTAAGTCTCATTGATGAGGTAGATGAGGTAGTCAACTATGAACAATGCCTCGGATCACTGTGCAGCTCCCTGTTTTGGAGGCAAAACGTATTTCTTAAGCAAGTTCCATTTCAGGAAGGTCAGTAATTCATTTTATTGACTGCTGAAGGACAAAAGTCTGAGTGAAACAAACAGGATTCAAACCCAGGACATAGTGGTCTCAAATCCTATGATTTCTCTTTAAGCGTAAATAATACAACATGAAAGCAAGAAGAACGCCATCTTTGAAGGATTGAGCCTGTTATGAGAAATGAATTGCTTTCCAAATCGACAGTTGTAACTAATAAAAGTATTGATGGAGTGTGTCTAGGAAAATAACTGGCAGCTTAGAATTCCCTAAGCAGCTTACGCTTTAAACCAGACACCTGCATATTAGAGCTTGCTTCTCTATCTCCTACTGTGTAGCCCCTGGATACGGTTATTAGACAAAGCACCATTGGCCTGAAATTCCACCCAGCCTTAGGCTGCAGTACATTTTCATCTTAAAATTTAAGGTCACTGCAGAATTGTGGAAAATTCTTCCATCTCCAATTTTTAAGCTTTGATTTCAAAGTCGCTCCTCTGCTCCTGCTCTTAAAAAAGACATCAGCTTCCAAATTAAACCTGAATTTCTTTTCACAATACTGCACTACCTTAAATTTTAAGATAAAATGCATTACGACTAAATGGAATTTCAGGCCTTAGGATTTTGTTTCCATAAGAAATTACAACTGTGTAAAATATTTCAAGAATATTCTTCATTTACCTCAAAAATAACTAGTTGCGTGTTAGCCTGGCTCAGATGGTAGCACTCTCGCCTCTGATCAGACATTTATGGGTTCAATCTCCATGTCATGACATGAAACTGATATAGTCTGGGCCAGTGACAGCCATGTCATGAAATGGCCCCTCCCGAACATTCGCACGCGTCTAGGTAGGTCCATGTTCGGTCAGTTGTGTGTTTCAAAGTTTTTCTTGTCAGAATATTTATTGATTTATGGCATAAAAATTGGCCACCACTGGTCGAGGCTGACAGTCCAATGAATGCAAGTGCAAGGGAGGATTGGAGTGGGGATTGGGCTAACATTGTTAGACAAGCAAAACCAAAGCCCCGTCTACAAAACCAAAACCCTGTTCAGTTGGACGTTAAAGTTCCCATGACATTGCTTGAAAAAAGATGGGAATTTCTTCTTGTGTCCAGGCCAACAATACCACAAAATAAAATTAGTCATTCACTTCATGGTTGTTTGTGGGACATGGTTGTGAGCAAATTGGCTGCCATGTTTGCCCACAAAAGAAGCAGTCACTCCACTTTACAGGATATCATGTGAAGCACTTTGAGACATCCTGACTTGAAAGGTGCTCTTATCAAATGAAAGTATTATTATCATAACTATGCTTATAATAATAATAATCCTTGCATTTGATATAGCGCTTTTCACGTCTTCTAGACGTCTCAAAGCCCTTCTCAGATTATGCTGTAAAGTGAATTGACTGTATTATTTGTGGGAGAAACGCGGCAGCCAATTGTGCACAGCAGTGTCCACAAACAGTCGTGGATTGAGAAACCAAATTTTTTTTTTTTTCTTGATGGATGTTTAAGTGAATTCAATCAACCCCTGCACGCTCTTCAAATCTACTTCATTTAAAATTCCACCTCTGCAAATATCAAATCTTTTAGTATATTGTTATTTAAACCAATATATCCTCCATTCCAATGTACTAAAGTATTCATCATGACAATGCTTTTCCATACACAAGATTGTATTGTAGGCAGTATAAAGAGGAATATGAAAAATGTATTTTCATATTTAAAGAACATATCCTTAAATCATCTATTGAAAAAAATACTTGCCAATTCTTGGGAAATAACTTACTTGAATCTTGTTTCTCAGTCAGATATTGGAATCTCACTAATGGGTTGAAACATTTTGGTTGAGAATAACCAATTACCCATTACTGCTAACCGCCCCGACTCCATCTATTGAATTGTTATTATTACTCTGCAAGTAAGGAAGTGTGGTGCAAATCATCCATTTCTAAATTCCAACACAGTCAATTGCCTGCTAATTGATTACAATAGAGCAGTATCTGCCTTCACCATCTGCTAGATTAATTCTGGCTGACTGGAAAATTGTCTTAAATACACTACCATTTGCCTCGCTACTGCTTTAAAGAGTTTCAATGAGTGGGAAAGTGTCTGATGTTCTCTGTTTTAATTTGCTGCTACCATTTGTTACCATTTGGTAAGGCTTTCTGTAACTCTGTATTAACCATGTGATGTTAAAGACTCCATGGCACTATTCAAAGGTTTTTCCTAATGGCCTGGCCAACAACCCCCCATTAAAATTGTCCATTGATTTTGTGTCTCTTTGTAGGCATTGCTGTGCACAAATTGGTGCCGTGCTCACGCACAAAAACACACAAATGCCTGTGAAGCGCATTGCAACATCCTCCGGACGTGAAAGATGCTATACCAAATGTAAAGATTATTATTTTATTATTATTAATGGACTCCCAGCTCATAAAGTCATTTAGCATGTCCTGAACATTCCAGAACAATACTCTAGGATCCCCCTATATCAGTGCATTTGTGGAGTCCTGTAGCTCAGTGGTTAGAGCACTCGCTTTGCAAGCGAGAGACCTGAGTTCAATTCCAGGCACAGGGCGAAACCTTGGGCAAGTTTCCTTATTCCACACACCTAATAATAATCCCTCCAAAACCAAAAACAATAATAAATTGGTCATTTTCAATCTACAACTGTTTGTGGGACATTTACAGTGTGTTCTGTGAAGCGCTTTGGGACGTCCTCCCGACGTGAAAAGCGCTATATCAAATGCAAGGATTAGTATTATTATTACTATTTACTGTATGTAGTACACAATGACATTGGTTTATAGTTGCAAAGGGCAATTTCAGCTATCAGGAAGTTTTTCTTCACTCATAGGGTAATTGATAACGGGAACAGGTTGCTAGGAAAGGCCATTTAAAAAGCAGCTTGATTCTGTAATGGGGGATGTAAGGTAGGTAAGTGTTTAGGATATCCTTCTGATGTGAAAACACTATATAAATGTAAATTTATATTGTCTTGTATTCTGAAAATGAGATCAAATGGGTCGAACTTTCTTCGTCCGAACTCACTTTGTGATCTTGTGAATTGAGTTTTAAGTGAAAACTTTTTAAATTATTTTAGGCCATGACCTAGCGAAGAAGTATGGAATCCAAGCCTGATTCAAGATGTTTCCAATCTTCACAAGGTTACTGTACAGAACACTGTCGGTTTTAAATTGGGTTTGCTTTCCCAGAAATGTTTTTGTGCCAGCCTCTGTCCTCTATTTTGATAAGTGTTTGTCTTTTGGTTCAAGGACCCAGGACTGTGCAAGCTCATGGGAAACACTTTGAAATCAACTCCAATAGCGGCAGATTGCTGTTTTCCGCAGATGAGGAGGAGGTGGTGGTTGGAGCTGATAAACTACGAGTCACAGGTATTTAATGTTGCAAATTATATTAATCCTTACATTAGATAAGATGCCTTTCACATCAGAAGGACGTCTCAAAACCCTTCTTAGGATGTACTGGAAAGTGTATCAATGTGTATTATTTAACACTGCAATTATTTAAGAGAGATCTTGACCGATTTACGCTAGATATAAGTGACACTCCTTTCAGCAAGGGAGATGGAAGCTATTTCAGTTTAAACCGATAACATTTTGGTGTTTCTTGTCCTATATCTCTAATGTTTTTTTTAAAAAAACACCAGAAATCAAATCAAAATGATTGATCCACCCTTTGGAAAAATTCCCCATCAATCTATATAACCTGTGTTTAAAGAATGTTTTTTTCATGAAAGTAAAGCGACTGCAGGTTTGTCCTATTTCACCCTCCAGATTAAGTGGAGTGATAGATGCTATGCTGAGCCTCTCACATCTGTCACTGTTCCACGTCAACCCTGTGAAAATGGGGCCAAGCCACAGGTGAATGGCAATGCTGAGCTCCAGTCTGTTCACCTTACCCACATTTACATAACAGCTTAAACTCCTCCACTGCCTCAGTCAGTAAATGCACTGTGTAGTTTGGCACTGAGCCGAACCAGGGAAATCAGTCCTGGGTCTGTGCCCAGTCATATGAGTTCACTAAGGACAGCAGCATTTTGGGCTAGGGAAGGGGAAATGACACTGCCTGTGTAAAAAAAGACAGATACTTGTATATCTGTGTGTGTGTGTGTCTGGAGATGTTGATAGAATCAGGCTCAGCTATGCTACCCACACAAATACATCCACATAGTTCACCAACATTAAATTATAATTATTGGTCCGCACAAAATACAATAATAATTTTTAAAATGCATGTTAAAGTCCACAATTTATGATATGAATCATATTACTCACAAGTGTTATTTCCCTAATAGTAAATCATTTTAGCATTCATATCATTTGACAGAGTTCTTTATTCACAATTGAACAATAATTCTTGCATTTAACATAGCGACAAGATATCTCAAACAGGATTTACTGTGAAGTGTAATGACTGGCAGATAGCTTTCACACAGAGTCCAACAGCCATGAAGTGAATGATCCTGGGGGACTGTTGGCCAGGACACTGGGAGAATCTCACTCGTCTTTTTGAAAAGTACTGTGAGATCTTCAACATCCACCTGAACAGGCACATGGACCTTGAAATATATTCCCTAACAATGTATAGAAGTGTCAGACTAGACTGTGAATTCAAAGACCCAAAGTCAGTCTTGAACACACCATCTTCTGACTCAGAGGCGAGAGTGCTCCGAACTGCACCAGGCTGACACCTGTTGACATTATGTTTGTCAGAATTATAAATGGAAGAGAAATGCCTCAATACATACTGTAGAAAGTAAGCCAGTTAGCTATATTTATGATGTCAAATCCTTTGCTGCAAACCATCAAATTGGTGTCTCAATAGGTTTGAATATTGGCCTTTCACTTCTGGCACCAGGGTTCCAATTTAACCTAGTTGGGAAGAAGATATCTCATGTGAAATACATTTGTGTTCTCAAGCTCTACCTCTTGCTGGTTGTGCATAACAACAACAACAAGATTCCATTTATAAGATAAGGCACTTTACATTGGCAAACTCACCCAGAAAGGGTATTCTGGGGAATGGCAAAGGTTACATTAACAAAAATAAATAATAATAATAATAATCCTTGCATTTGATATAATGCCTTATCATGACATTGAGATGTCTCAAAGTGTTTCAGAGGATATATTGTAAAGTGGAGTGTGACTGTGTATTTTGTGGGTGAAATGTTGGTAAATTATGGGACATGCTTTGAACAAGGGTTAGGGAGTAGAGAGGACTTTCTTGTGCATTTAATACCAGACATGGGAGTGCTTAATCCTGCGACTGAGTTCCTAAAAGGACAAAATGATTCCATTAACCCTGAGCACCAACATCCCCGCCTTGATGAGCATAAAATGTTCAGGGAAGAAATTTTGATGTACAGTATTTTGCTGTTGCTAAGGTTTTCACATATTCACATCAATTCAGTATAAACACTGGTACTGGGAGCTTTGAGTCCAAAGTTGTGACTAAACCTTTGCCAGAGTCCTCCAGACGTGAAAGTCTCTGCATATAAATATAAATTTGTATTGGATTATACATTTCGTACTCCAGCCTGGAGTTTCTCTGGATCCACAAAAAGTGAGATTTAATGTTGATAATACATTTTTGAGTTCACCAAGGTGTATATTTCAATGCCTTCTGGTATAAACTCATTAAAATTCATGAGGGGAGATATGAGTCAATTAATATTTAATAATAACAAACCACAGGCAGTGGAAACTTACCACGTTAATAATTTGTGCATCTTTACATGTTAATTTTTCTTTCATATTCCATTGTCTATGGACCACCTACTTTGTGATAAAAATGTACAATTTGCAGATCGGTTTGCTGCAGAGCATTGAGCTCCCATTGAGATCAGGGTTTGAATCCAGCTCCAGTGGAGTTTGAGCTTGACAAAATTCTGCAGGTAATTTTCTCATGGTAGAGCAGCTACTGGGAGGATTTGGTGGTGGCCTACGGACTCTGAGAAGAGGAAAAATCCTACAATGAAAAATAGAAGCAGTGATGAAACTCGGTGGCAGTTGAAATAAGAATGAAATAAGCAGTGCATGTGCATTATGGTGCCTCTTTCATCTCCTAAAGGAGTCCCTAGAATTGACCTCTGCTGCTGAGATACTCACAAGTTCACAAGAGAAGCTTGCATGAAGAAGACTCTTCAGTTCATTTAGTAATAATATTTTTTGCATTTGATATAGCACCTTACACATCAGAAGAATGTCTCAAAGCGCATCACTGGGTAGTGATTGCCAAATGCGGCTGCTAATTTGCATACAGTAATGTCCCACAAATTTTATCTCGGAGATTCATGGCCAGGACACTGGGAAAAACTCCCTTTTTGAAGAGTGTCATGGGAATGTTAACAGCCACCCACTCAGCCAGACGGGACCTTGGTTAACTCATCCCATCACCACTCATATGCAAGAGCAGCATTTTACATTAGAATACATTTTAGAATATATAGCACAGAAACTGGCCATTCGGCCCAACTGGTCTTTGCCGGTGTTTATGCTCCACATGAGCCTCCTCCTGCCCTTCCTCACTAAGTCTTCAAGCATAACTTTCTATTCCTTTCTCCCTCATGTACCTATCTAGCTTTCCCTTAAATACATCTGTGCTATTTGCTTCAACAACTCCTTGTGGTAACATGTTCCACATTCCCACTAATCTCTGTGTGAAGAAATTTCTTCTAACTTCTCTATTTGATGTATTTGTGACTATTTTATATTGATGGCCCCTGGTTTTGATCTCCCCCACAAATGGAAACATCTTCCCTATGTCTACCCTATCAAAACCTTTCATAATTTTAAAGACTTCTATCAGGTCACCCCTTACCCTCCTCCTTTCAAGAGAAAAGAGTCCAAACATGTTCAGCCTTTCCTGATAATTAATTTCTGGGATCATCCTTGTGAATCTCCTTTGTACCCTCTCCAGTGCCTCTGCATCCCTTCTATAATGTGGGCACCAGAACTGCACACAGTATTCTAAGTGTAGTCTAACCAAGGTTCTGTACAAGTTTACCATAACTTCCCTGCTTTTCATTTCTATCCCTCTAGAAATGAACCCCAATCCCTGGTTTTCCTTTTTTATGGCCTTATTGTGTATGTGTACCCCTAGGTCCCTTTGCTCCTCAATCCCATTTAGGTTTTTATTTTCCAGGATGTATGTGACATATTTTAAAACAAAATAATGTATGTACTTTCTCCTCCAGAACACCCAAGTCTTTAATTGCCACTAAACATGACTGAAAAATATGTGTGGATCACTGTCTGACACCACTAACCTGTCCCTCTCCTCTGGCTCTGTTCCCATTCCCCTTAAAACTGCTACCATCACTCCCATACTGAAAAAACCCTCCCTCAATGCGTCGCAGCTATCAAGCTACCGGCCCATCTACAACCTCCCCTTCCTGTCCAAGGTTCTTGAAAGAGTCGTCGCCTCCCAGCTGCACTCTTTCCTCTCCACCCACTCACTTTTTGAACCCCTCCAGTCAGGTTTCCGTGCTGCCCATAGCACGGAAACCGCCCTGGCCAAGGTCACCAATGATATTTCGACCATCTGCGACCAGGGCTCCCTCTGCCTCCTCATCCTACTCAACCTATCGGCCGCATTCGATACGGTCGACCACTCTATCCTCCTCCACCGCTTGTCCTCCCACCTCAACCTTCAAGGCCCTGTCCTTGAGTGGTTTAGGTCCTACCTCTCCCACCGTCTTCATTTTGTCTCTGCAAACGGCCTCCGCACCTCAGGCGCTGACAGCATCAGCATCCAAGGCTGCACTCTCCACCTCTCAAAGCCAGTCAGGAACCTCGGTGTTCTGTTCGACCCTGAGCTGTCCTTTCTTCCCCAAATCCGCGCCGCAACTGGCACCGCCTTCCACCTCCTCCGGAACATCGCCAGACTACGGCACTACCTCACCCCTCACGCTGTTGAAACACTGGTCCACACCTTTATCACCTCAAGGCTGGACCACGGGAACTCTCTCCTCGTCGACCTTCCCGGCACCTCCCTCCACAAGCTGCAGGTCATTCAGAACTCTGCAGCTCATGTACCGTCCCGCACAAGGCTTCGGGACCACATCACTCCCACCCTCGCTCGCCTCCACTGGCTCCCAATCCCCCAGAGGATCGAATTCAAGATCGTCATCCTCACCTACAAGGCCATTCACGGCCTTGCTCCTTCCTTCCTCTCCGACCTACTATCCCCCTACTTACCTGCCCGTACCCTCCATTCCTCTGGCTCCGGTCTGCTCCACATCCCCAGCCCTAACTGCCCTACCATCGGTGGCCGGGCTTTCAGCCTCTCAGCCCCTAGGCTCTGGAACTCCATCCCCCAGTGCCTTCGCTTTGCTTCCTCCCTTTCCTCCTTCAAGGCCGATCTCAAG